CTCTTTCCTATAAACATTTAAAAACCATTAAAGAAATCAAACTCAACTACTATGAAATAGAACTATTTTTAAGGGTTGAAACTCATATTTGGAACTAAATTTTTAAAAGTTTTGAAGCCAAAACTACCAGGATTGTGGTTGATAAAGCATGCATTTAGAAAAGTATGGGCCATTGGTAGATTTTTACTCACAAAAATTTTATTATAGAAGCAGCCCAAACTAAATTATCCTACCTATGTATGCTACATGTACATTATGATTGTATGTATAGTATACAGTTTTGATAATGTTGCATTATGTGTGTGTGCCTGTTCAATAGACAAACCTCTTCTTTCTCTTTCTTAATTCTTGAACATTCTTCATTGCAGACTGGCCTCTTCTCCCTCTCATGACATTTCAAATCCTAACAATCACAATAATTATTAAGAATTGAAGTGACCAAATTTTATAAATAAATACCTTTTTAAGTCGTTTACAGGAACATCTGAAGGTAACTTTTTGAGAACACTGATCAACTGGTGAGCAGTTACCAGAATGACAAGAATATGAACAACGATGTCCACAAGATAACTGAAATAAAATAATAAAAAATAAAGAAATTAAATGCATTTAGATTGACAAATTGTACTCTATTCTGATATAACTGATGGCTTTCAATAATGCATAAATATTAAGTCTAGTTCATTTAAATTTTAAATGATGCAAATTTCTAAAAAAATCCTAATTTTAATCAGGAGCCCTGCTTTAATACATATTATAGACACTTACCAGTTTGGTACATTGGTTGTTACATGCTTGAAGTTTTGACTTTTGATCATCATCTGCTGATGTCCAAACACTAAAAATATCATTTCATTAATTAATTTTTTACAACAACACAAAATGCCATTAAATGAAAAAGAAAGGAATTTGATCTAGTATTTAATTTTATCATTTATTCATGTACTCACTGGCAGTGTAGTGTTATTGGCATAGTAGAACAATGACACCTCAGTCTGATGGAGTGCATGCATTGAGGACAATCTCCTATTAATAACCAAAGGTCAATAGGTCAAAGGTCAAAAGGTCATCTCTACCTGGGTGACAAGGTAGCTTGCATGTGTGTGTACAACCCAATGGGCGTGGCTTCTGACAATCTAAGTCACACGATGAACAATCTTCCCCAGCCTACATATACAAGAATACCTCATTAATATTTATGAGCACCTCGTTAATGAATAATCATACCTCATTATCGGACAGAGGATTAACGACATTATGACATGGTCTTTCACAATAATGATTACTACAGGAAAGGACACGCCCACACTTGTTACCGCATGCATAAGGACGTCTCTCAGAACAAGGAAAATTCCTAACCTTAAAAAACAAAAAATGAATATAAGCACATTGTATATGTACTAATGTATGTGAAATTGTACCCACTACATACCCCGTATAGAAGGGAATTTTGGAGGGAGTTAAATTTGGCGAATTGATAATTTTTCGTGATTGGCGAATTTTAATTTGGCAAATTTGCGCCATGTGCCATTGAGCATGTGTATAATGGCTCAAAATGGTGAATTTTTATTTTGGCAAATGGCTATCAAAACGCCAAATTTGCCCAATTTAACCCTCTCCAAAATTTGCTGCTATACGGTATGAATGTGTAAATGTATGTATCTAATACATATGAATATATGTAATACCGTAAATCAGGAAATTTGTGTGGTAGAAAATTTTTGTGTTTTAAAATTGTGCTGTGATTTAATTTTTACTAAATAAGACTGTGTCATGTATTATTGAATGTGGCATGTAATTGTATGGGTAATCTAATTTTTGCAAAACTCTAATCCAGTAAAATTAAAATCACAGTAAAAATTCCAGATAAACGGTAATACATGTACATGTACTGTATATGTAATGTGTGTGTGCTTATTTCATGCCCACCAATGCATATCCTAAAATAAATGAATCACATTGACAATGCATCATGTGACTATCATGTGACTCACTGAGGGACTGGTACGATGCATGAGGGACAGGGATCCACTATCAGCTGCTTCATGTCTTCTTCGTATCTTTGTAATATGAGCTTCATTTGATCCCAGGGGAGGGTAGCATCCATTGGAGCAGACTGAGAGGGGAGAGAATACAAAGAAAGAGGGAGAGGCAGGGAAAGGAAGAGATAAGAAAAGAAAGAGGAATTAGTTTTTAAAATAATTTTAAAAGGTTAAGATGATAAAATGAATAGATTTGTGGTATGAGAAAGTGGGCTAATAATACCATGCTTATCAATTACTGGGAGTAAATGCCTATAGAATATCATCTATAGGTAGTCATTCATAAGTCTATAAAGTTAGGTTTAGAAAAGGTATATCAAGAGAGCTTAAACCTCCTACAGTAATCAGAGAAGACTGAAACTCTATTTAATGAAAGGGAAACAGATAAGAGTAGAATGGGGTTGATAGCAAAGCTAGGGTATAAAGTTAGGATGTCACTACAGTCTACTGACAAATTCAGAGTAAAAACCAGTTCCACTAGTGTTCTTCATCATGAATGGATTGTTTCTACTATTAGCAGTGATCTACTGCTGTACTAATGTGATTGGAATATGTCATGATAATAATTCTCCTTTCTACAGTGACTCAAGTGTTACTGCTCCCATTGGTAATCATTGTACAGTGTGTTCTATATGATTAACTTGTTATTGTATAGATTGTCCTATTGCTAAAGATTGCAAGGCATGGTTTGATGCTGGTGCTACTAAGAGTGGTGTATATCCTATCAAACCTGATGGAGACTCACCTTTTCAAGTATACAAAATGACTCCCACTTTAATAAACTATATATATTCCATTAACAGGTTTATTGTGATATGGAGACTGATGGTGGTGGATGGACTGTATTTCAGAGGAGACAAGATGGATCTGTTGATTTCTATCGTGGCTGGTCTGAATATGAGAAAGGTTTGGTAACCTAACAGGAGAGCATTGGCTAGGACTGAGAAACATTAATCGTCTCACTCCTCAAGGATCAAACTATTTAAGAGTTGATCTTGGAGACTTTGAAGGCAACAAAGTTTATGCTAAATACAACAGTTTTGAGATACTTGATTCATACACACAATATACCATTGTAATTGGAAGCTATACAGGAACTGCTGGAGATTCACTGACTTTTAATAACATGATGAAGTTCTCAACTGAGGATAGCGATAATGATCTTCACGGCAGTCATTGTGCAAAAGTTTTTTCTGGAGCATGGTGGTTCAAAACCTGCCACCGTGCACATCTCAATGCTCCTTATTATCGTAGTAGTTCAGTTCCTCAATGGAGAGGAATCATCTGGTATGCTTTCAAAGGTGATCGATATTCTTTGAAGTTTACAGAGATGAAAGTTAGGCGTCATAACTAACTTTGAGATAAAAGAAAACTTAAACCTTATAACTAAAGGTCCAACAGTACACATTGGTTGTTGCTTTGTTTCTAATTTCTATTTTGTTAACTAATAATAATAATAATAATAATAATAATTTTATTTCCGACTTTATTTCTATTCTTAAACTACTATTGTCCTACTTGGTGTATTTTGGTTAATAATAGTAATAATAATAATAATAATAATAATAATTGTATAGCTTCCCTCTCGTCCTTTCTCTTTCATCCTCTCTCCTCTCCCCCCTCTCTCTCTCCCTCCCCCCTCTCTCTCTCTTCCTCATTCTCTCCTCTCCCTTCCTCTCTCCCTCTCTCTCTCTCTCTCTCCTTTCCTCCCCGTCTCCCTCTCTCTCTCTTAGATGAGGATTGGTATTCATTCAGGTGCAGTAGTTGCCGGTATTGTTGGTACAAGAATGCCTCGGTATTGTCTTTGTGGTAATACTGTTAACATGGCGAGCAGGACAGAAGCTAATGGTGAACCAGGGAAGATACAAGTTACACAATGGACACACAAGTAAACAGACTAATATTAGTAATGATAATAGTAATAATTGAGATTGCATGTAATACATGTGTACATGTAGCAGTGTAAAACAAGTGCATTTTGAAAAATACCCTGTGCCCTGTACTATAATAGTCCATGATTTTTTTCAAAAAATGGCTTCGGAATCACCCCAAATTTTTATTACATTTTCTGATACATATTGATGTCCTTATGCTTTATAGCAAGTTTGAGCCAATTCCGATTTTAATTTTTTAAGTTACGGCCATTTTAAGAAAATGCTGAAATCCTGAAAAATACCCTGTACTATAGCCCATGGTTTTTTCCAAAAAATGGCTTCGGAATCACCCCAAATTTTTATTACATTTTCTGATACATATTGATGTCCTTATGCTTTGTAGCAAGTTTGAGCCAATTCCGACTTTAATTTTTCAAGTTACGGCCATTTTAAGAAAATGCTGAAATCCTGAAAAATACCCTGTACTATAGCCCATGGTTTTTTCCAAAAAAATGGCTTCGGAATCACCCCAAATTTTTATTACATTTTCTGATACATATTGATGTCCTTATGCTTTGTAGCAAGTTTGAGCCAATTCCGACTTTAATTTTTCAAGTTACGGCCATTTTAAGAAAATGCTGAAATCCTGAAAAATACCCTGTACTATAGCCCATGGTTTTTTCCAAAAAATGGCTTCGGAATCACCCCAAATTTTTATTACATTTTCTGATACATATTGATGTCCTTATGCTTTGTAG